CCCAGGTTTGCAAATTCCTCAAGGTATATGTGATGCAAGTCGAGGACAAGTCTAATTGGACGAGTAACATTGGCCTCACTCAGCTTTTTATAAATATCATAGTGATATTATCACTTCCTACTCCCAAGAGTCATCTCTAGCTCCTATTGATCTAGTATCCTCGTCCGAAACCCGACGACCCTGGGAACATCACGCTGCGGGACTGGATGATGAGTGCTTCACGGGGATTCGCCAGTATTTGAACAAGCTTCATAGTGTGGAACAGGAACATTGGTGCCGAGATCTTGTCAATGTAGGCAAGGCTCACCAGGTTGACTGAGGACCCAGTGTCCAGTAATGCAACCACCGCCGACGGTTCCGCTAGCGGAGTTCTGCTGTAGCCGCTGACAATCTTTTGAGTTGTAGGCTCGGAGATAAGTAGCTATCATGGCTAACACCCAGACATCCATCAACAACTCGACTACCGTCACGAGCCTAGACGACAGCAGCTATAGTCCCCTGAGCGGTGTCTATGAACATGCAAATATCGTTGCTGCACTTGCCAGTGCGTGTAAATTCAGAGCAGACCACAGTGTGGGCCCATCCTCCGATGGTGCTGCAGGCTCAGTTTCGGGGTCTTCGACCTTCTTCTCAGTGACATGTTTGAAACGGCAGCTATCACCTAGACGGCAATAGCCAGATCGCTTGAACCCATAGCAGATGTCACGCTCCTGGCTATTCTTGCCGCCAATTTTGTAGCTGCCAGCCCTTTCGGGAAAGTACTCAGCAAGCTCGTCGAAGATTCCATGATGTTGACCCACCTCTTGTTCAATGGTGAGTAATTGATCTCTTCTGAAACGGAATCTTATTTCACGGGTAGTCCATGGGTCACTGACTCATGGTGTGGCCCGGCCACATCACGGGTCGCCAATAATATTGGCGACCCATGATATTGGCCCAATATCCGGTAGCGGAACCTCGTGTGATTTATTAATAGGGGTTCTCGCCTTCTGGTCAACAATGTCGGACAAGAGCTTCTTCAAGATCACTATAGAGTCGGACATATTCACATTGTCCTCCAACTTCTCGTCGTACCCAGAGGCCTCGGGAACCTTCTTCTCTGACTCTTGATAGACTTGTGAGAGTTGTTGGAGCTGTCTCCTCAGATCTTCGACCTCGTTATTTATCTGGTCCATCTGAATGAAGAACGGGATAATGATCGACATAAGTTACACCGCGACATAGTCGGCCCTTCCAGAAAAGTCAACGATCGGCCTCGGTTTTACGTGATCACCTGCATCTGCAACGCAGCAGGCTGTGTCCGTGGGGAGCATGTCCGGTCAAGACCCGTTGGCAAAGATGTTATTGGCTCCTGTCTCACATTTTTGCGACTTTCTACATACACCCTTTGGTGCTGTGTATCGACGGAGGTTCGAATCTAGAGTCGGGCATGTCACGCATTACTTGGTTCTCTCTTCTTTCTATTTTTTTCCATTCTTTGTCAACTAACACACAAGACCACGTCTTTCAGCAACGGCATATCGAAGGTCTTCATCGCACGATCGCACTGTCATCGGTGGTGAACTATTCTGACGAAAGAGAGCACATCGACAACTCTCCCGGCCCGTCGACACCAGTGTTTGTATCGAGCTTGGTTGGGGGTGAGTTCGGAGTACTCAGAAATATCCCGCATCTCACGAATGGCATCGGCACTTTCAGATTGAACAACAGCAAGCGCTCGTCTTCCATTTTTGGTAGGGATTAGCGGCGGCACCCTCGCTCTACAAATCCCCTCCACCACCGTCACAGTCAAAGACCTTCACAATCGGAACTCGCATAACGTTTCTCATACCCACGGAGACGACGGCTGTCTACCATGAGGACATGCTTCGCCAAGACGTCTGGCGTCGATCCAGCGTACTCAGAGAGGAGATAACGCTTTTCCGAGAGTGCGTCTAGGTGCTGAACAAACCGTTCTTTCCACATTACATAGGATATCACAGTCGGTTGCGTCTGTTTGTAACGCAAAGCCTTCACCGCCCGCGAGGTCAGAGTCGACCGGTTGAAAGACCAAGATTTGCTGATGCGAAGCCGATCTCAGCCAGCCAAAGACGATATCATGCAGACTGGACCATTTAGAGGGCTTGTTTTTCCCGGGAGATTGTTTAAGGAGGAGAGATCTACCTGTAGCTCGCCTTCATCGAAGGACTCCCTTGATTAGTTGATAGTTCCCAACACTGACTGTAACTGCTCCTTATCAGGAGGCCTGGGGAGCGATTCTAGGGATGCCACAGCTGTCGTCTCCGGTGACTAGCCTTCAGATGACACTCTCATTCTCTCGAGAACCACTTTCGTAGTCTCTACATAATCACCACATATCAACGACGAGGAGCAGAACGACAACTCGTCCTTCGAACTTATCAAGTTCAGATATTCGAGATGAATTACAATGTATTTCACGATTCTATCAGTAAGGCCCAAGTAAGCGCTTAAGAGCTCAGAAAATATCTGGGGCGCTCGTACTGTATAGAATACACTCGTCAACATCTAGTGGTAATTAAAGTCGCAGCAGAGGATTTTGATGTAAGGCGTCGCTGCAACACTAGTGATGCTCGGCCGTGGAAGATCGGTACGAGAGCAGGAGTCGAAGAGCGGTTCGAGGTTACCAAGGTGACTTGGCTACCAGAATGCAATAGTCCTCTGGAAGATAATGATTTCACAAGACCATAGAAGCTCACAAGCAACAGATCGTGTTGATCAGGTCTACTGGCCAGTGATCGGTCGTGTAATTCCGCACTGATAAGGCGATCTGCCCAGAGTCGATACGCAAGAGCTTTAATGATCTCGGTGGAGAAGAAGTGCGTGCTGACCTCCATGAACTTGGACACGGCTACGGACTCGCTACTCTTGACAACAAGGCCGAGGCCTCAAAGCTGATCCACAACGGTGTTCCCGCGAACTCCGAGGTGGCGTCTCAAGGTCTGAAGATCCGAGCAATCGTCCCGAAGAGTACTCGGGGTAGACCAGTTACTAATTGAGGCCCCATCTCCGAGAGGGGGTGTTGGGGCCTGCAATGTGATCCATGTCGCTCCGT